GCGCCCAGCCCCAAGAACTTTTTCTTAAAGCTTTACGTGTACTTAGGAAATTGTGCAGAAATTAGTAACACAAACTATGAGGCTGAGGAAGGGATTAAACTTGCTTGAAGGGTATCTTGTGATGGACATGTGGGTGTCAAAAGAAGGCTCATCCCTGCCTCTTTGTATCCTTAGCCCACTTATAAGAAGCGAAGGTTGGATGAGTGTGAAGAAGCCTTCCAAGGTAAGAGGCACCCTTACCTTACCTCTCCTCACCCCACCCCTGACTTGCAACCCTGAGAAGCAGGTGGATCTAGTTCTCCTGACCAGGAGGCAAGATCTGATCTTACTTCCCAGAGGTAGCATTCCCAGCTCCTCCAGACATGCCTGTTATTTAGTGCTCTTACCCTGGTTTTCCAATAAACAGAGGGTTTAAGACTTTTGTCATGTTTCAGATGCTCATCTGTTATTCTTTTGTTCCATACATTCTCGTTGATTCTAATAGTGGTGTCTTGGTAGGATTGTGACAAAGGCAGAGGTCATAGCATCTGATAGGCATAGGGAAAATGAGAGAGAGACAGGGGATGCTGTGTCCTTCCCTCTTCCCTGATCATTTGACCTTCATATCTCTGCCAGGAACCAAGGTGTTTGTGATGCCCAATGGGATGCTGAAAAGCAACCAGCAGCTGGTGGACATTATTGAGAAAGTGAAACCTGAGATCCGGCTGTTGATTGAGAAATGTAACACGGTGAGGCACAGGCTAGTGACCTATGGGCCGGCCCCAAGTACCCCACCTGAAGTGCAAGAAACAGTGGATGTACTGGTGGTATGGGAATTGGCAGACTGGATTTTTTTGTGGTTTTCTTTTTTTTGAGATAGGGTCTTGCTCCGTCACCCAGGTTGGAGTGCAGTGGCGCCATCTCGGCTCACTGCAACCTCTGCCTCCTGGGTTCAAGCGATTCTCCTGCCTCAGCCTCCTGAGTAGCTGGGTTTACAGGTGCCTGCTAACACACCCAGCTACTTGTTGTGTTTTTAGTAGAGATGGGGTTTCACCATTTTGGCCATGGCTAGCCAGGCTGGTCTCGAACTCCTGACCTCAGGTGATCCACTCGCTTCAGGCTCCCAAATTGCTGGGATTACCGGTGTGAGCCACTGTACCTGGCTACACTAGGTATTTTGGCTTCTGTGTTCCTGGCATCTGGCCCCAGCTGTCTGAATTGTGTACTTAATGGCTTCAGCCTTCAGGCAAAGGTCCTCATATATGTTTTGACCTCCAGGTCAAAATGTGGGTACAGCTCCTGATTCCCAGGATAGAAGATGGAAACAACTTTGGGGTGTCCATTCAGGTAATGTACTTGAATTACGAACTGGGAAGAGCGGCTTGGGAGATACTCTCATCTCCCGTGCGTTAGCTTTTTTTCCTTTCTCCTTGGGGCTGCTGTGGATGTCATGGAAGTGGCTTTTGATGCACCTGTTGTTTGTTTGTTTTAGGAGGAAACAGTTGCAGAGCTAAGAACTGTTGAGAGTGAAGCTGCATCTTATCTGGACCAGATTTCTAGGTAGGGCTGCTTGGGCTTGGCCGAGGCATTGGGGGCTGATGAGGTGGTGGGCACCATCAAGGGTCTCCTGCAGCTTCCTCCTCTTCTCTCTCCTTTCAGATATTATATTACAAGAGCCAAATTGGTTTCTAAAATAGCTAAATATCCCCATGTGGTAAGTAAGTGGTTTGTGGCCTGAGGGTGGAGGTGGCAGGATAGTGAACAGTGACTGTTACTGAGAAGGAGCTATCTGGGAACAGTTGGGCCTTGGGGACTAGCTTTTTCCTCTACCCTCCTTGCAGGAGGACTATCGCCGCACCGTGACAGAGATTGATGAGAAAGAATATATCAGCCTTCGGCTCATCATATCAGAGCTGAGGAATCAATATGTGAGTAACCTCAGTCCTTGTCCATAGTTGCTGTGGCTTCACTTAGTTCTGTTGAGAGTATTCTTGAAATTCTCTGAAGGGCTGAGATGAGGGTCTGAGGTAAAATTAGTAGACTAAATTCTGTTCATCAACTGAGTGTTGAGAACCATGAAGTCCTCTAGCGGGGTTTCTCTCTTCTTTCTGCCTGAGAGGAGGGGTGTGCCATACAGTATGGTTAAGATATCGGTGTTAGAGTCAGACAGACTTAGGTTTGCAACCAGGCTCTACCTGTATTGTGTGATCTCGAGCAAATTGTTTAAGCTCAAACTTCAATTTCTTCTTTAAAATGGGACTGGGCTGGGTGCAGTCGCTCATGTCTGTAATCCCAGCACTTCGGGAGGCCAAGCCAGGTGGATCACCTGAGGTCAGGAGTTTGAGACCAGCCTGACCAACATGGTGAAACCTTGTGTCTACTAAAAATACAAAATTAGCTGGGCGTGGTGGCACATGGCTGTAATCCCAGCTACTTGGGAGGCTGAGGCAGGAGAATCACTTGAACCCAGGAGGTGGAGTTTACGGTGAGCCAAGAGCGTGCCATTGCACTCCAGCCTGGGCAACAAGAGTGAAACTCCGTCTCAAAAAAAATAAAAATAAAAATAGGCCTGGTGTGGTGGCTCACGCCTGTAGTATCAGCACTTTGGGAGGCCGAGGCGGACATATCCCTTGAGGTCAGGAGTTAGAGACCAGCCTGACCAACATGGAAAAACCCTGTCTTTACTAAAAATACAAAAAAAATTGGCCGGGCATGGTGGCACATGCCTTTAATCCTAGCTACTTGGGATGCTGAGGCAGGAGAATTGCTTGAACCCGGGAGGCAGAGGTTGCAGTGAGCCGAGATTGTGCCCCTGGACTCCAGCCTGGACAATAAGAGCGAAACTCAGCCTCAAATAAAAATTAAAATTAAAAAAATAAAATGGGACTGAAGAGGCCGGGTGTGGTGGATCACACCTGTAATGCCAGCACTGTGGGAGGCTGAGGCAGGTAGATCACATGAGGTCAGGAGTTTGAGACCAGCCTGGCCAACATGGTGAAACCCCATCTCTACTGAAAATACAAAAAATTAGCTGGGCATGGTTGGTGGACCCCTGTAATCCCACCTAACTGGGAGGCTGAGGCAGGAGAATCGCTTGAATCCAAGAGGCAGAGGTTGCAATGAGCCAGGATTGTGCCACTGCACTCCAGCCTGGGCAACAGGAGCGAAACTCCGTCTCAAAAAAAAAAAAAAAAAAAGAACTGAAGAGTACCTACTCACAAAATTCATTCAATTTTAAAATAAGTGAGATAACACATTGAAGAACCTGGTACAATTCTTACTATGTTAAGTGCACAATACCTGTTAGTTGCTACTAGACACTTGGGGCCTCGGAAATACCCATTTACACCCAGTTGAAGTATAAGAGAGGTGGTGCTGCCACCCTGAATGCAGGCTCAAGTGAGATTAAAATTACAGTAAGTCGGCCGAGCACAGTAGCTCACATCTGTAATCCCAGCACTTTGGGAGGCTGAGGTGGGCATTTCACGAGGTCAGGAGATCGAGACCATCCTGGCTAACACGGTGAAACCCCGTCTCTACTAAAAATACAAAAAATTAGCTGGGCGTGGTGGCGGGCG